ATGGTGCAACCAAAAGTACCCAGCAGGTCTCCCATGTTCATTGCCACCCATTGGCATCTGGCAAAGGGGAAACTGTCCTGCCTCAGGGTGATCCTTCCTGCCAAAGTGGGTGCCGTGTCTAGTGTGGGGAGACACCATTTTAATTTCCTCCCCAGAGGGCAGTGGAGGCTGTGAAGCCTCAGGAGTCTGCACGGGAGGGGCCTTGTCACATGGAAGAGGATTTTGTCCTGATGTATTTAAAGTATTTAAAATATGACTCTGCCCTCTGGCAGTCCTCATGGAAAGGGGAAGGTTTATCCTTTCTCTGTGCCATAAGCTGAGCCTCCGCCATATCCAATTTATGGAGGGCGACCTCTATCCGGTCCTGCATACTTTTAAAAGCTTCATCTTGTATGCTTTTATAAACTGACTCAAAGAGGTTACGGTTCTCATCCCTCATGCACTTAATAGTTAAATCAAAGGCCTGATTTTGTTGTTGTATGGCCAAGTTAAAAGCCTGAATTTGTTGTTGCATGGCTAAGTTAAGAGCCTGAATGTGTTGTTGCACATTCTCAGTATGTGAAGTAGAACATCTACCTCTCACAGAAATAAGAATGTAGCAAATGGCGCTTACACATATTACCATAAAAACACCCAGAAGCACAGACTGTAAAGGGATGGCTTGTAAACCACCCATGTATGTACACAATAGTAAAATCACATGCCATACATCCGGCTTCATCAAATTATTTACATTAAAGAAACTGGTGGTGATATTTAATGGAAGAAGGCTACTCAAATTCAAGGCTGGAAGGAAACTGAGAAAACTCAAGCTAGGGATGAAACTGTATAGGCTCATGGTTGAGGCCATATTTGAGTCAAAAATGCACCCACAAGAGCTGTATGCACAGGAAAAAAAAAGACTTTTCAGGACTTGAGACAAATATTACGCTGCGAGTTCTGCAAAACTAGTGCGCTTATGGTGACCAGCGCAAGGAATGTTACTTTGGGCTGGTCAACCGCGGGTGTAATTTAGAAACCATGCTGGGCACCAAATCTGTTATAGGGCAGCCCATACGAAACGGGGTGCCTGGCTGTGGGTCCTCACCCGCGCACTTAAAAGGACTTATCAATGCTCTACTGCAGGCACACGCGAAAGGTTAATAAAAGGTTTATTTACAAGGGAAGGGGAAATAAGGAAATGTACAGCTCAGGGAGAAAAATGGGAGACAAAGTTTTAAATGCGTCCTACCCGATCCGCCAACCTGGAAACACAAATGGCACTCTGAGAACTGGCCGCAAGCCAGGAGCCGTGAAGCCAGGAGGCGAGTGACAGAGCGAGACACTTGGCCCGTGTGCTTGGTTTTTATATCCAACCTGGCTGCTTAACTCCACCCTCAGGTCCCAGCTACCTTCCCTTTGGTGGTGAAGGGATTTGTCTTTCCCAGTGTCTTGATGACTTTGGTCTGGAGTGGGGGTGGAGTCCACAAAGCCTGTATGGGATTAGCTCAGAACATCCTTTCCCCCTAACACCGTCAGCAGTGTTATTTCAGTCAATCTGCCTGTTCTGTTCCCCACTCTGTCTCTGGTGAATCCTCTCACCCCCCCACACCTCTGGCCTGCACCCCTGTTCTTGTATACATAAATAAATCTTTTTTTTAAAAAGTTGCCATTATTGAGATTGTTTAATTCTTTGTAGTTTTCTGTTATTCTAACACAAATATATCCGTACAGCTAGAACTTGAATCAATTCTACTTCCTTCATATCTCTCAAAACTGTTTTGCTATTTTCCTTTGACCTAATTCTGCCTTCCTCACACCATTCTTATACATTCGCTAGTTTTATCCACTTCGTTAGTTTACATTTCTGAATGAATTTTCCCTTACTCCATCCCAATGAAATTTGTAATCTATATCAATATGAATTTTATATATATTATGTCAATATGCATATACATAGTATAGCATGTTATATATAGCAAAGCATCAGTGTAAATTTATAAATAATATCATGGGAAATATATAAATTATATTATGCAAAATCCCTGCCTTACCACTTCAAAAATTTAATTATGTTCCTATTCATAGATGAAAATAGTTAAACTCCATATTATGGTATTCCAGAACTTTACTGGGCTCATGATTACATATAGATATATTCATAGTTTTTTAATATACATTTTTATTATTAATTTATTCTCATGAGATAACATTAGTTTACAACACTATGATTAATAACACCACCTTTAAAATAAGGTGTCTGGGTTAACATTTTAGCCTTTTAATCTTTCTGCTTTATATCAATGAACATTATTTATGCACTTTTTCTTACATTCTACATTCAAACTGTCAGTGCATTCTGTTGGTTCATCTTCAGATTTTGTTTCTAAGAACATTTTGATATTTCTGCTCTGAGGTACCATCCTTTCTATTCTGGATTATTACTGTAGTTTCTCCACTAACTGATTACTTCACTTTGACCCTTGCAGTCAGATTATTTTCAACAGACCAGTCTGTGCTTGGAATGTAAAACCTCCGATTATTTCTTCCTTTCATCAGCATAAAACATAGATGGCATCCAACACCTTCCAAGTCCTACAACAGTTTTTCTTCTCTGATCTAATCACTAGGACAACATTCTTGCTAACTGTGCTCCTAATATACTGGCATCACTGCTATTCAGCATTCCTGACTCATTTTTCATTGAATGGTTTATGTGCTTGGAAAGATATATGCATGTATAACTCTGCTAATCTATGTCTAGGAAAGATGGTGTTGATTCACTGGTGGAACTATCAGGAGAATGGAGGGTCGTGGGTCTGGGTTTTTTCGCCAGTAGAGGAAAAACAGCCACCCACAACAAACATGAGAGCAAGAGTGGATTTACTGAAGCAAGAGGAAGGAACTCGTGACATCAGGAGGGGGGCCAAGGGAGAATGCCTGTTTTACTCCTGTCCTATCTGTAACTACATACTGTCAGACTTTCTGTTGTACAATGTGTCCGGCTATTGATTAGGCACTAGGTGGTCCGGAAGTTTCGTGATTGTTATTTTTTTGTTCCCTAATTATCCTGAAACGGGATCTTATTCTAGGTGGTGACTAGCTCAGCAACATTTCAGTAAAACACTTCTATTTTCCTGGGAGCTGTTTTGTTCCTTCTGTTCCTATATTGTTGAAAATCACCGCCCATGCCTGAGACTTTCCCATTCCCCCAGTCATCCTGGTCTCAGTCCCTCTCAGAATGGAAAAGCTCTGTCTGCCTGGGAAAACCTGCATGTCTAGTTTCATTTTTTTGCCAAGATAAAGGCAGTGAAATTTAGGATGAGCTGTTTAAAATTTAAATGTGCATGAGGTATTTTTCTGACCCCGAGTGTTTGCCTGAATTCTCTCACTGTAGAGTATTATTTGCATTAAAATAAAAGTTTTATGTAAGCTGACCATGTGAATTCAGATGACTTCCTTAATAAAAGTTTTATGTAAGCTGACCTTGTGAATTCAGATGTCTTCTTTCAATAACTGAACTGAGAAACATTTGCACCTACTCCAATTCTTTGTTTTTGTATCACTTTGTCAACAGGACCTACTCAGTGAGCCAAATTAAAACTGCTATCCAGTTTCTTCCCAACACTCCCAATGACACCTACTTCTTTATTTTTTCTATATAATCAATCACTGTTCAATATACTACAAACTCAATTTATAAGTTATTATCGGTACAAAGAGGTTATGAAAAAATTAAAAAGCAGAGAAAAAAACTAAAAGGAAGCAAGATACTGAATTTATGATTTAAAAGTTGGGAGAAACCCAGGAAATGATAAACTCAGTATAATGCTCTCAGAAAAAAAATGACTGAATTTGGATGGTAGTGGTGAGTTAAGGTGACACACATAATGGTAAAAGGATATGAAAAGACAGTAAGCCACATGCCAAATTCTCACCTAAGATATGGACTTTTAATAAAGTTATTAAAGAAAAGGTCAAGGTTGCTATAAGCAGGAATAAGATGATTTTACTATAAGGATAGGAATTAAAAATGTTTTCTTTGATGACTGATAAGGAAGCAGAGATCTACTGACTTAACTGGATCAAACGCAGATATGAGGGAGTGGCAGATAAGTGGACAAGTTTTGTTCTTAAACTTGGTTGGATTTTTAGATTTTTTCCTTTATTCTCAATGATGGGTTTAAATTTTATCAAATATTATTTTGACACATATGAGTTAGAAATTTAAACTACATACACAGATGCCTGCTTTATGGCAAAAATAATTATCTTCCTGCCTTGGAGAGACAAGCATTTAGCCTTTTGCTTGGATCTAATAGGTCCTCAGTAAATATAAAATCCATTCCCCATCCCCAGTCACTTTCAGGCTATATTTGTCAAAATTGTGACATTCTTTAGGCTATAAACTCTGAAGTTTGATGCCTGCAAATTAAACTCCAATATTTGCTAATTCTATAGACACAGGGAATTATTTAAATACTTTATGTCCACTTCCTCGTTTCTAAAATAAGGATAATATAACTATAGTGTCATAATGAGGGGAAAAAATGTAAATGTTTAGAGACAATTTGTGTAAACTACCAATTGGAAACTTAAATTAGGGAACATGATGCATGGATGTTCATAAGTATTTTAAGAATATATTTAAAATATCCTTAAGGTCATATCATTACAAAAGTGTTGGCTAATATTATTGATATAAAATATTTCAAAATTATTAAAATATAAAATTAGGGCCTCCCCGATGGCGCAGAGGTTGAGCGCTGGGTTGCGAAGTTGCCCGCAGCCTCTGCAGCACTGGTTCAATTCCCGGCTGCCAGGCGAGGGTCCCACATGGCGCGCAGACCTCTTCTGCCACACCCACTGCTCCCCTCAGCAGTGTATTTTGTCAGTCTGTCTGTTCTGTTCCCCTCTCTGGCTCTGGTGAATTCTCTCACCCTTCCGTGCGTCTGACTGTACCCAGTGCTTGTATAAATAAAATACATAAATCTTAAAAAAAAACTTAAAAAAATATATAAAATTAACCTCCAATGCTTTGTATGAGTCTTCGCTTTAATAGATGTTGACAAGTCAGAGTTGAAATGATGAAATGTGAAACTGAGCTCTCTTATACTGAGTTACTGTTTTAAAAAAATTTTAAATTGTTTCATGATTTTATCATTGTCAATAATTTTATTTCTTTAATTCACCTTTAAGTCAATGACTGGTTGCTGTTACTAGTGCTGTCTTCTGTAATAGATCTGTATAAAAGAAATAGCATGAGTTTTAAGGTTAGGAGTCATTGTAATGTTAAACAAAATCAAGAAAAGTTAGAAACAAGATTTGTACTAAATATGCAATTATAATGTACTAATATTCACTTTACTGCTATGTCCATTTATTAAATTTCTCTCTCTTATTTATAGGAACATGGGAAGAAATGTTAATATAGCTATGATAATATTTTCCATAGGAAAAAAAGATAATTTATTTCCAAATCTTCAAATTCTTAAATTATAATGTCTCTATAAATATATCAATATAATGTAAATATTTCACTTTTATTAATAGGCTTTAATGTCTTCCAGTTACATATAGTTAACATTTTGTGATATTTACACAGTCTCCAGTTGTTTTTTTAAAAACTCCTGTATATACACAGTTCTGCTGAGGAAGAGAGATACAGTGTCCAGGTTCCTAGTACTTGGCTATAACTCCTTGGTCACAAGTGATAACATCAGGCTAGAAGACCTACCTCACTGATACAAATCCAGACAGAACACTCTGAATTTAGGTACACTTACATAGTTATTTTCTTCTGCCTTTTGAGATTATGAACTAAGAGGCATTGACTGGAATTTTATTTGACAATGAAACTAAAGTGGGTTTTTTGGGAAAATTTATTTATTTATTTATGCATACAAGAACTGGGGTTTAGGCCAGAGGTGCTAGGGGTGAGAGGATTCACCAGAGACAGAGTGGGGAGCAGAATAGGCAACTTGACTGAAATACACTGCTGAGGGGAGCAGCGGGAGAGTCAGGAGAGGTCTGCTGCACCATGCGCGTAGCTCCCTGGTGAAGGATCGAACTCATGCTGCGGTGGCTGGCGATAGTTTGACAGTGTTGAGACTTAACCCGTGTGCCACCCGGGAGGCCCTGAAACTAAATTTTAGATAGATATTCTGGCCCATGTGCAAGAAGAGCAGGAGAACAGAGAATGTCAATTATAAAGCTTTGGGTGATAAAGAGAATGGATGGATCCTGACCCTGCAGTTTATTCCTACCTTTTTGTGCTTCACCTCTACATCATATTACCCTTGTAGCCATAATACCAGTGTTGCTACTCTAAAATATAGATGGGCCTCCCTGGTGGTACAGGCGGTTGAGCACCGCACTGTGAAGCAGTCAGCAGCCTCGGAAGTGCTGGTTGGATCCCGGCCGGCCTGCGAGAATCCCACATGGCACATCAGACCTCTTCTGCCTGACCCACAGCTCCTCTCAGCAGTGTATTTCGTCAGTCTGCCTGTTCTGTTCCATGCCCTGTCTCTAGTGAATCCTCTCACCCTTCCATACATCTGGTATGTACCCCGGTTCTTGTATAAAAATAAATAAATCTTTTTTAAAAAGTTAAAAAAGATAAAATAAAATAATAAAATATAGGTTGGCATGACCAGATTTTGTTATTTGTGGTCAATGATACTATATTATAACATCTCTTTCAAAAATCAGGATTACTTCTACAGGTATTTAGCTTTCCCCAAGGTTTCTCAAGTAAGAGCACAGGAATATTTACATCAGATACCATTTATTTAAGTCAATTTACAACACTTTGAAGATTATTTAAATGTCTAAATAAATTATGCAACCTTGAATTTAACTATTCACTGCTAACTTGTTGATAAATAAAATTAACTAACTTGGCAAACAGAGGAGATAGTGGAAATTTTCTCTCAGTATTTCATCTCCTTTACATAAGTGAGAAACAGAACCATTTTCCTTTAGAATGGAATGAGACCTGCTTATTTATTACTTCTGCTTGTCATTTTCCTAAATATTTTCTAAGTAAATTGGGACTTATATTGGTATTATGGTAAAGAAAACAAATTCTCAATTTAGAAACATATAAACAATATTAGTTATATGTAAAATCATATGTATTCTCCCTGTGTTCCCTCCCTCATTGGTTAATATCTTGTATTTCTCTTACCTTCTACATATTCTCTTCACCAGACACCTAAATCTATTAATTTCCTTGGCACAATTTAATATTAATGTAAGGAAAATGGTGTTGTTCATGACTAGATAGAAGCTAAAAGCTATAGCCAACATGACTATGTGGTCTTTTTTTTTTTTTTTTTTTTTTTTTGAGGAGCAGCATATTGTTTGAAATCAGTGAGGACTTACTGAGTAAATCCAATTGTTCCTGGGCTAATAAGAACATGAAGGATACCTAAGAGCCTGAAATCTGAAACAATGTGGCGTATACTAAGTCAATATTTTGGAACATTAGCCCAATACATTAAAAAATATCTATTTACAATATTCTGAAATACTTTTAAATTATTCCCATAATATTTAATGTAACAAATAAATGTACCTACCCTCCACTTACTGTTCCCTCTCTGTTCCAAGATCTCTTCACATTATACCATTTAAGAGCTATGGTGGCAATTAAAATGAGGACAGGTAGAAAAATGTAGAAGCTGATTAAAAGTCCATTTTTTTTAGGAGCAGCATGTTTTATAATCAACTCTGTATTTTTAGCTGAAAATATAAAAATGTCTTTAACATTTTCAAAAATGATATTCAGTACATAGTAGTAATTTGAATTATAAAAGCTTCAAATTCAAATTATACAGTCAGAAAATGAATAAACTTTAACATGCTTTCCAATATTCTGTAACTATGCATTATAAATGCATTATAAATCAATTCAATTCCTAAAAATAATTGATATAAATTTATTTTAAATCTTTGTATCAGTTGTAATATTTATATTCTATATACTATTGTATTTTTCCTATCATACTCACCTTTGTTAACTGCAACTTAGAACACATTAAGTTGATATTATCTAATAGTAAATTTTTGCATTTAAAAGTGGAGCAAAAAAAGAACTGTTTTAAAAATAATTGAATAAAAAATTATTGACTAAATGAAAACTAATTTAAAAATTATGATAGTAAACCAGGTAAATTTCCACATTATCTGTATCAGATGACTTGTTCTAATTTCAAATACGTTTTCAGAAAAGCAGAAAATCCTTCCGGTATTAATAAAAAATTACAGAAAATTATATAAATAAAATCTATGCATACTTATTCAATTAAACAAAAGTAATCACCCAAACATCTAAGCGAAGCAATTAGAACTACCACCCAAACAACTATGAGGCATGAAATATAAATGAATTTAACGCTCCTGAAAACAAACAAAAATGAAAACACAATATATTCCAATTATATGTTGATTACAAGTGATTTACAGTATGTTCTGTGTATTAGAGGAGATAAATTGGCAATTATATACAAAAATATTGACATTAAGGAAAAATGCCTCAGTGTTATGGTACGGCATACTCATCATTTTTAAAGCCTCCTTTTACCTGCCCCATTCATCAAGCAATGTTAACTATCCCTTAATCCATCTTTAGTAAAGATATTCATATCTATAAGAAGCTCCATATCTAAGTTGGGCTTCCTTCTCATGTTTTAAATTACTCCAAAAACTAAAGAAAGTGGATGTAATTATTATTGGATTTTTAAGAGCTATTCATTACTTTAATGAAGAAAGAGGTTCCACTTTTGGCCATGAAACTTTTGCATTAAATGTTGTCACACTAACTTTATTGTAATAAAATAATAAAATACAATAAAAACATAAAATATCCAAATGAAGTAAAACTTGAAGTCAATTCTGTAAAAATCAAATCTACCTATGGAGAGCAGGTGGGCAATTCTCAGGACAGATAATTGGAGCCCTAGTCAAAACATGGCATTTCCACTAGTTAAGGCAGCAGAGGACAAAGTTCATGGTGGGAGAAGCAGAAATAGTTGAAAAATGCAGGACGCAGCATTGGAGAGAAAGTTGCTTTGCAGATTAGTAAATTAGGAAATACGAGTGTGCTTGTGTGCACATGTACACATTTGTGTACATAAACAGACACACACGGCATTATAAATACAAATCTGAAGTTAATAGACAACTGCACCTACTGGGTTAAAAGTGGAAAGGAGATATTAAAATTTGAACAGTTATGGGAAAATAAAACCCAGAAAATCCCAAGAACACCAAGAAAATATGTTCAAATCACATATTCCACAAAATTCATGTATGTAGGAAAAAAATCTGAAAACTCAGCATTTTAAAACACAAACAAGTCAATTTGAAATAGGCAAACGATATGGATAGACTTTTCATTGAAGAGGATATAGATGCCAAATAAATATATTAAAGACAGTCAATGTCAAGACCCATTTGGGAAGTGTAAATTAAAACCAGAACAAGATATTGATAAACGTCTAATAGGATGACTAAAATAATAGTGGTACCATCAAATGTTGGTAAGAATGACAAAAAACGTACATCATTCCTGTATTATTGGTGAGATGTCAAGTGGTACAACCACTCTGGAAAATAATTTGGTAGTTACTTTATTTATTTTTTTTTTTTTTTTTAAAGATTTATTTTTATTTATTTATACAAGCACTGGGTACAGTCAGAAGCGCGGGAGGGTGAGAGAATTCACCAGAGCCAGAGCGGGGAGCAGAGCAGGCAGAAGGACCAAAGTGCGCTGCTGAGGGGAGCAGCGGGCAGCAGGAGAGGTCTGCGTGCCATGTGGGACCCTCCTTCAGTGGCCGGGGAGCAGTCGGGGATTGAACCGGCACTGCAGAGGCTGCGGGCAGCTTCGCAACCCAGCGCTCAACCGCTGCGCCACCAGGGAGGCCCTGGTAGTTACTTTTAGAACTATAAATGGTTTAGCATTGACCCAGCAATTTCACTTTTGCCATATTTCTCAGAAAATTAAAAATTTACTTTCCTGCAGACACTTCCACATGAATGTTCATTACAGATCTATTCATATTCATATTCATTACAGATCTAAAAATTGGCAATCACTGAAATATTCTTCAGAAGAATAGTTAAATTATATTACATTCATAGAAAGGAATGCTGTTATCAATAAAAAGGAATTGAAGTATTCATGCATGAAACAACTTCGATGCAGTTAAAGAAAATTATATATAAGAAAAAATTCAGTCCAAAGATTGAAAAATTGGACCTTCCTGGTGATGCTGGGGTTAAAGTCTCAGAACTATCAAGCTATTGCCAGCCACTGTGGCATGAGTTCAATCCCCAGCCAGGAAGCTAACCCATATGGCTCAGCAGACCTCTCCTCTCAGCTTCTCCTCTCTCCTCTCAACCCACTGCTTCCCTCAGCATTGTATCTCAGTAGATCTGCCTGTTCTGCTCCTCACTCTGTCTCTGGTGAATTCCCTCACCACCACTCCCTGCACCTCTGGCAACACCCCACATTTTTTTTTTTTTTTAAAGATTTTATTTTTATTTATTTATTTATACAAGCACTGGGTACAGTCAGAAGCGCGGGAGGGTGAGAGAATTCACCAGAGCCAGAGCGGGGAGCAGAGCAGGCAGAAGGACCGAAGTACACTGCTGAGGGGAGCAGCGGGCGGCAGGAGAGGTCTGCGCGCCATGTGGGACCCTCCTCTGGTGGCCGGGGAGCAGCCGGGGATCGAACTGGCACTGCAGAGGCTGCGGGCAGGTTCGCAACCCAGCGCTCAACCGCTGCGCCACCGGCGAGGCCCAACACCCCACATTTTTATGCATACATAAATCTTCAAAAATAAAAGAGAAGAAAAATGGTAAGATTTCATTGATTTAACATTCACAAAATAGTGTATTAGAGAAATGGAGATTGGTTTATTGGTTGTCAGGAGTTAGGAAGGGAGGAAAGAGGGAATCCATGCAGGTACTCCAAGCGTAATACTAGGGCCATTTAGTGATGCTAGCGTTCTCTATCCTGATTGTGGTCATTATACAAATTTTAATATGTGGCAAAATTATATAGAATTAAACATGCACATGTTTGCACACACACACAAATGGGTGTATGTGTGGTGGTGAAATGTAGTCTAACTATTTCTTGGTTTTGATACATTACTATCATATTGAAACATGATTAATATAGATGGAGGTTGAGTAAAGGGTACACAGGACTTCCATCTATGTTTCTTTTGTCAAAGTATATTTATACAACATGAAAAGTTAAATAAAAATCACAATGGGATATTACTTTTGTCAAAACAAAATTGAAGAATACAAAAAAACCCCTATGAAAATGGCAAGTGTTTGTGAAGTGTAGATTATCTGTTCAGAAAAACTGGAATTCTCATAGATAAAGGGAGGGAAGGGAAAATAGTATAATCATTTTGGACAGCAGTTTAAATGTTTCTTGTAAAATTAGATATATGTTCACTAAAAATATACTAAATAATGACCCATCTATTTCACTTTCAGGTATTTACCCATCAAAAAATGAGATCTTAAATAAAGGCAAAAGTCAATGTGCTCATTTTATGGCACTTTATTGTTAAATGTAAAAAACTAAGGAAACTCCAAATGCACTTTAATGGGTAAATGGATGACAAAAATATAGCACAGAGCCTCCCTGCTGGCTCGAGCCACTGTGGCATGGGTTCAATCCCCAGCCAGGGAGCTAACCCACATGGCTCAGCAGACCTCTCCTGTCCTACCCACTGCTCCCCTCAGCAGTGTATCTCAGCAGCCACCTCAGCACGAGTCTGATCCCTAGGCAGGGAGGTGACAGATATGGTGCAGCAGACCTCTCCTGTCTCGCCCACTGCTCCCCTCAGCAGTGTATTTCAGTAGATCTGCCTGTTCTGTTCCCCACTCTGGCTCTGGTGAATCATCTCATCCCCTGAACCTCTGGCCTGAACCCTGGCTCTTATATGCATAAATAAATAAATCCTTAAGAAAGAAAAATATATAGCACAACTTTCCAACAGAAGGCTATGTAATAAAAAAGAATGATAACAGAAATGAATCTTAAATGCAAATATATTGCATATGACATACTGGAAAAGGCTATTAGCCACAACTAGTTATTTAAATTTGAATTCAATAAAGTAAAATAAAATGGAAACTTTAGTTCCTTAGTTGCACTATGCACTTTCAGGAGCTCATTAGCTGCATGACAGTATAGTTGCAGAACATGACTATAAGTGCAGAAAATTCTATTGGAGCATGTTGTTCTAGGTACTAACATTTTACAAGCCAATATCCATCATCAATACTTCCTCCTGGTGATCCCTTATATCGTCTGCATTCTGGAGGAGCATATCCAGCATCACATTGACAATTATTGAGAGTATTGCAAACCTATCACCAAAAACAAACAAAAAAATAGGGTAACATTAAATGTCATATACAAATTAAATTTTTTATTTATGATGCTTAAAATAAATCATGAAGGTATTTAATTGAGTATACTATAGGTAGTTTTACTTTAAATGTGGAAAGTAATTTTCAAAATAAAGGACACAGAAACATCCATTCCAAAGAACACCTGCACCCCTATGTTTATAGCAGCACTATTTACAATAGCTAAGCTTTGGAAACAGCCCAAATGCCCAAAAATAGATGACTGGATCAAGAAGATGTGGTACATATATACCATGGAATATTACTCAGCATTCAAAAAAGATAAACACATGCAATTTGCAGCAACATGGATGGCGCTGGAAGGGATCATGCTCAGCGAAATAAGCCAAAAAGAAAAAGAAAAATACCGGATGGTCTCGCTCATAGCAGGAATCTAGAAAACTTAAATAAGGGACCAGGAAAAAGAATAACTATAAGAAAGTGAAAATCAAAATCAACAAAAAACTATGAACCAGAGACACTTTTTGGGGGGTGAGGGGAGGGAGGGGAGGGAATGGGGTCAGAATGGGGGGGCTGCAATTGTATGGGGAATATAAAAATAAAATTTATTATTTAAAAAAAAATAAAACATAATAGGGCCTCCCTCGTGGCGCAAGGGGTGAAGCACAGCACTATGCAGCAGTCCGTAGACTCTGAAGCACAAGTTCAATCCCCGGCCAGCCAGGGAGATTCCCAAATGGCAAAGCAGACCTCTCCTGTCTCGTCCGCTGCTCCTCTCAGCAGTGTATTTCAGATGGTCTGCCTGTTCTGTTCCCTACACTGTCTTTGGTGAATCCTCTTACCACGCCCCACCTCCGCATCTCTGGCCTGTACCCCAGTTCTTGGATGCATAAATAAATAAATCTTAAAAAAAAAAGTTTAAAAATAAATAAATAAAACATAATAAACTATGCAATATCTTTTAAAGTATAAAGATTTTCTTGAATTTGTCTATTATTTGAAATAAAAGTAGACAGCATTCTTTGAAGCAGAAATCATTTAATCTAGAATGGTATGGAAATTATGAAATTAATAATTATAATATAGTGGAACTTAAAATTTTGTATGATTTTTTTCAGGATTTAAAAAACAGATGCAAGAGAAAGGCAGTTCAAGATGGTAGCATAGAAACTTCTTGGGTTCAGTTCTTCCCCCAGCACAACAAATATCCAATTATGCATGGAATAATTCTCCTGAAAAATATCTGAGAATAAGCTGAAAGCTCCTCCATAAAGAGCAAAAGACCCACATCAAAATGGGTAGGAACACCAATTTCCAGAATGTATGGGATGAAGTAAAAGCAGTAAAAAGAGGAAAATATATAGCAATATAGGCTCACATCAAGAAACAGAAAGAATTCAAAGAAAAAACTTAATCTCACACCTCAAAGAATTAGAAAAAAGAACAACATAAAACACTTAAAACCAGTAGAAGAAAGGAAATAATAAAAATCAAAGAAAGAAAAACAAAAAAGAAATTAAAAAATAATCTAAACAATCAATGAAACCAAAAGTTGGTTCTTCAAAAAAATAAACAAAATAGACAAACCTCTAGCCAGGCTCACAAAGGAAAAAAGGGAGAAGCACAAATAAACAGGATCATAAATGAAAGAGAAAAAATCACAACGGAAACAGCAGAAATCAAAAGAATAATCAATCCAACAATGTATCCATAAGATAAATCACCATGACCAGGTAGGATTCATGCCAGGGACACAAGGATGGTTCAACATCCGAAAATCAATCGTTATCCAACACATCAACAAAAAGAGATATAAAAACCATATGATAATATCAATAGATGCTGAGAAAGCTTTCAACAAAGTGCAACACCTATTCATGATAAAAGCCCTTGAAATTCTTGGGATACAAGGGACATACCTCAACATCATAAAGGCCATATATGACAAGCCAACAGCCAGTATCATTCTCAATGGCGAAAAGCTGAAAGCATTTCCCTTAAGATCTGGAACAAGACAAGGATGTCCACTCTCACCACTGCTTTTCAATATAATACTGGAAGTCCTAGCCAGAGCAATAAGACAAGAGAAAGACATACAAGAAATCCAAATAGGAAAAGAAGAAGTCAAACTATCACTATTTGCAGACAATATGATAATATATATAGAGAACCCCAAAAACTCCACAGTTCAACTCATCAATCAGTTCATTAAAGTGGCAGAATACAAAATCAACACACAAAAGTCAGTAGCCTTCCTATACACAAACAATAAATCAGAAGAAGAAGAAATAAAAAAAAAACCCTTTTATTATTGAAACAAAAAAAATCAAATACTTGGGAATAAATCTAACAAAAGAGATAAAGGACCTATACAAAGAAAACTATAAAACACTGTTAAAAGAAATAGAAGAAGACACAAAGAAATGGAAAGACATCCCCTGCTCATGGATTGGAAGAATAAACATTATTAAAATGGCCATCCTACCAAAAGCAAGATACAGATTCAATGCTATTCCAATCAAAATTTCAATGTCATTCTTCAAAGAAATAGAACAATTATTGATGAAATTCATATGGAGCCACCAAAAACCCAGAATAGCCAAAGCTCTCCTAAAAAAGAAAGAAGGGAATGGAGGCATCACACTCCCAGACTTCAAACTGTACTACAAAGCCATAATCATCAAAACTGCATGGTATTGGAACAAAAACAGACACACAGGCCAATGGAATCGAATAGAAAATCCAGAAATAATCCCACAGATTTATGGTCAACTAATCGTTGACAAAGGAGCAAAGACTATGCATTGGAGCAAAGAAAGTTTGTTCAATAAATGGTGCTGGGAAAACTGGGTCGCTACATGCAAAAGAATGAAGCTTGACCACTACCTCACATACACAAAATCAACTCAAAATGGATTAGAGAACTAGACAGAAGACCTGAAACCATAAAATACATAGAAGGAAATATAGGCAAAACATTACGTGATATGCACATCAAAGACATCTTTAAAGACACATCACCCAAAGCAGTGATAGTGAAGGCAAAGATAAACAGCTGGGACTACATCAAATTAAAGAGCTTCTGCACAGCAAAAGAGACAATAACAAAAACAAAGAAAAACCCCACCGACTGGGAGAACATTTTTGCACACAACACTAATGATAAAGGACTGATCACAAAAATCTACAAAGAGCTGATGAGACTCAACAAAAACAAAGAAAATAATCCAGTCAAAAAATGGGCAGAAGAGCTAAAAAGAAACTTCTCTGAAGAGGAAATGCAAATGGCCAACAGGCATATGAAAAAATGTTCAACATCACTTGTCATCAGGGAAATGCAAATCAAAACTGCAAAGAGATACCATCTCACACCAGTGAGAATGGCACATATTAAAAAAACTAGTGACAACAAATGTTGGTGAGGATGTGGAGAAAAAGGAACTCTCCTGAACTGTTGGTGGGAGTGCAAACTGGTCCAACCACTATGGAGAGCTGTGTAGAGTTTTCTGGACCTTCTAAACATAGAGCTTCCATATGATCCAGCAATTCCACTCCTAGGTATTTACCCGAAGGACACAGAAACATCAATTCCAAAGAGCACCTGCATCCCTATGTTTATAGCAGCACTGTTTACAATAGCTAAGCTTTGGAAACAGCCCAAATGCCCAAAAATAGATGACTGGATCAAGAAGATGTGGTACATACACACCCTGGAATATTACTCAGCATTCAAAAAAGATAAACACATGCAATTTGCAGCAACATGGATGGCGCTGGAAGGGATCATGCTCAGCAAAATAAGCCAGAAAGAAAAAGGAAAATACCGGATGGTCTCACTCATAGCAGGAATCTAGAAAACTTAAATAAGGGACCAGGAAAATGAATAACTATAAGAAAGTGAAAATCAAAATCAAGAAAAAACTATGAACCAGAGACACTCTATGGGGGGTGGGGGATAGGGAGGGGAGGGATTGGGGTCCAAATAAGGGGATTGCAATTGTATGGGGAATATAAAAATAAAATTTATTTAAAAAAAAATAATAATCAGAGATTACTATGAACACTTATATGCAAACAAATTCAACAACATAGAAGAGATGGACAAATTCCTAGAGTTATAATCCTCCAAAGCTAGATAAAGAAGAAATAGAACAACCAAACAGACCAATTACAAGCAGCAAAATTGAAGCAGTAATAAAAACACTCCCAAAAAACAAAAGCTCAGGCCCAGACAGCTTCACAAATGAATTCTACCAAACGTTCAGCAATGAATTAGTGCCTATCCTACACAAACTCTTTCAAAAAATTGAAAAAGAAGGAATACTACCAAATACATTCTATGAAGCCAACATAACACTAATACCGAAACCAAACAAAGACAGCTCAAAAAAAGAAAATTATAGGCCAGTCTCCCTAATGAACACTGATGTAAAAATCCTCAACAAAATCCTTGCCAACAGAATCCAACAATGGATCAAAGGGATAATATCAGGGCACAAGGATGGTTGAACATATAAAAATTGATCAATATAATCAAACACATTAACAAAAAGAAAAATAAAAACCATATGATCATATCAATAGATGCTGAGAAAGCATTCGAAAAAGTCCATCATCCATTTATAATGAACGCCTTTGTAATTCTCAGGAGAGGGAACATCCCTTAACATGATAAAAGCCATATATGACAAACCCACAGCCAATATTATTCTCAATGGCGAAAAGCTGAAGGCCTTTCCTTTAAGATAAGGAACAAGACAAAGATGTCCTCTCTCACCACTACTCTTCAATATAATAGTGGAGGTCCTAGCCAGAGCAATAAGACAAGAGAAAGACATACTAGGAATCCAAATAGGGAAAGAAGAAGTAAAACTATCACTACTGGCAGACAATATGATAATATACATAGAGTACCTTAAAAACTCTACAGAAAAACTAATCAAAATAATCAACCAGTTTAGCAAAATCAGTAGCCTTCCTATACACAAACAATCCAT